TTCAAGGACCCACGTCGTACTTCAATGAACCAGTCCGTTTCGTTTGACAGTTTAATCACCCAATCAATCTATCTATGGGGACACTTGTGTCCGACATTGAATCCTCCTACCCGAGATGCGACCAAACAGGATAAGCTATTGGCCAGTTTGCCGATGAGTGTTATGTGCACTAACAGCAACGTTCGTTTCGGGCCCCTAATCGTCATTCTGATCTATAGTAATATTATCTATTATTTAGACGGTGAATGTTTGAACTAGCCCATTCGGTTTTTCACAAGCACCAGGCACTGTTGATGCTGTTCGATGTGGGTTTCACTCCTTGGAAGGTCGATAATTCCGACACTAGGTAAATGCATTTAAATGTGATGGAAATGTTTATGATAACCGACAAAGAGCACTGGACAGCTGTTTCGTCCTGTTTGGGACTCGTAAGCAGTGCGGACTTTTGTGTCAGTTATCACAAACATTTCCAGCGTATTTAAATGCATTCAAATAGTGGAGAATTAACGTTCTCCCAATGAATGAAACCCAGACCGAACATCATCAACAGTGCCTGTGAAAAACCGAATAGGTTAATCCCAACATTCATCATCTAAATTGATTGAGCCATTCGCAAAAGGTGAGGACCGTGTAGCTCAAGGGTAGCGGTTTGAAGTCCCAGCCCGAATGTTCGCGGTTCCAGTCCTGACAGGGACACAAAAAGTACGCAATGCTGACTAGTCCCAAACAGCTGCCCAGTGCTCTTTGTCGGTTATCTATCAATATTATCTACATTATTAGTTCACTGCGCTCATTCGACTGTCTTCAGAACATAAGAACGCTGTGTGTAGACGGTAGTGCATAGATGTACACACACGCGCGTGCATACATCGTGGGAAACTGAGTGTTTTTGAGTGAGCGGGAACTAGGTTGAAACTGAACGGAATTGTACACCACTGATCTGTAATTTTTAACTAATGATTGTCCAGTGTCCGACATATAATGTAGGGGTAGGATAATCGTTGTCCAGGCACCGCAGTGAAATGATCTTCATGAGCGGAATTTTATCTGCGTTGAACATATTTTGTTTGACTTCATCGTGAAGTTATGCTTTCATCTAAAGCAAACAACGGTTATCGAAAACAGATAGGTGTTTTCATAACCGGTTCGAAGAGGCCAAGTTTCGCAAAAGCGGCAGTAAAGCAACATGTACTGTTGTGCTATACATACACACGGTGTTTCCATGAAAGAAACGCAAAAGATTAAAAAATGTCAATCTTGAGGCATTTACGCACCCACATTTGCGTTGGTCGTTATGTAGCACCTTGAGTAGACCATGCTCGCAACAACTGCCCGAGAGAGAGAGTCATTACTCAACAAAAGTGCAGACACCAGATCCTTTCAATTTAATACATATTGAGGATGAAAAAACGCAAGCATGCCTAGCGGTTCAGCGTATATCGCCTTGTTACCGCGTAAAGCAATATCATCAGTGCATTTCAAGTCTACGATTCTATCGCCAGGACGACTGTCCGCGCGAGAAGTTGTTACGATATGTAACGTTTTTCTGCAGGACATTCATGATGGCAAATTTGAAGACTCATGCGTTTTGTTTAGGCCTTCAGCTGGACGAACACTGTCCACAACATTCGTTCGATTTTTTTGACACCACACATGACTGAGATTGACAAAGCCAAGCAGGTTGCACAGGCACAGACGAGGGATGAACAAAACGTTTCCGCATACGGCAGTGTGCACGACGAGTACGAGAAGCGAATGACTGGACAAAAAAACGTGAAATGTAATCTACTATTGTTAATCTTATTCAGTAATTACAACTCACACAGAACCAAATATCACAACACATCCGATCTGTAAGGATGGAACTCAGTCGATATGACAGGAGGGTGATGGGTTTCGCCGATTACAAATGTGGCTTAAAACAGCATCCACAGCAGTGTTAATTGTTTGAGAGCTGCCTTTAGTGATCACGCGCCTTCACAAAAGCACTGTGTTCTCAAATATCACGCGTATGATGCGTGGAATCCGATACAAATCACCAACAGTTGCAGTGGCGACCTTTATTGAACTAGTCGAAGGTTTAACCGATTCGGCATGGTCGAGCTTTTACACCAAAGGGGGGCTCGAGCGCATAAACCCTGGTGGAGAATACTTGAACAAAATATAACGTGTATTGTGATGTAACGAATAAAACTTTACGTGTATCCGGAAACTTTTTGACCCGCCCTCGTACATTCATGTTTCGAGAGAGAGTGAGACCTTACTTACATCAATAGCAAAAGGAGGTTTAAGTAGGCGATGGGTGATTCGGATCTACGAGATTACGCCTGCCCTGGAGCAGCGCGGTACAATTTCCAGACATTGGTAGTCAATCGACCTTGAGCGCTGACGCCAGTAGCACGTGCCCAGGCTCCGGATACACGTCATTGGTGGACCGTTCCAGCCAATCAGATACAATGCAGAGAAGAGCAGTATGACGCAAGATGTGATGCAATATAATTGGTGGAAACTAAGGTAACCAATGATCTTTTCTTGTGCACATATATATTCACTTTCATTTCCTTCAATAAACGACTTTGTGATTCACCTGTCTTGTGACCTTTTTCCTCGCGTCTCGATCCTGCGGGTTATTGCGAGTTCGAGCCATTGCGGTCGTGTCATCGGTTTTCTAATTCGTGTTCCGTGATTCCGATTGCGTAGTTCGTGTCCTGAATTCTGTGCGTAATTTCACTACTACTACTTCTACGATTACCACAGTGATCAAATAAATCCACCTAATTACAGGTTGGACACTGTCTCAGTTATGTGTAGCGGCTGTAATTCATGACCAGAGTTTCTTTCAAGATCAACATCAAAAAATCGTGCACCATCCGTCGGCCGGAAAAAAGTGTCCTACATCCTGGGGTGTGTGAAGAGTTAGCAGCGTGCTTCGATTTGACGTTGCACCACGCGACATCTCGAGTAAACAGCGATATCTCCCGGTCCCCAGCCTCATTCTGACCGGGGACGTTGTAGATAAGTTTTGCTACCTGGGCAGCAATATCTCACCTGGCGGACGCATCACAGATGAAGTGTCGCCGCGCATACAGAAAGCTAGGCTGGCATTTGCCAACTTGAGACATCTGTGGCACCGTCGCGACATCCGGCTGTCTGTGAAGGGTTGAGTATATGTTGCAGCAGTTCAGCCAGTTCTGCTTTACGGTGCAGAGACTTGGCTATTAAGAAAACAGGATAAAAATAGACTGTCGGTGTTCAAACACCGTTGTCTATGTCGCATTGCACGAATCTGGTGGGGAAACCGGACGAGCAATGCTGAGGTTAGGCGCAGAGTTTTAGGTAACCACGGTCGTCCACCTCCATAGATTACGCTGGTTGGGACATGTGCTACGCATGTCACCACATAGGTTGCCACGGCGAGCTATGCTTGCCGAGGCAGGTAGCGGTTGGAAAAAATGAAGGGCGGTCAAACTAAGACCTGGCATGAGGGTAAGAAAACCCTGACCAAGAGACTGGCTCACATAGGTCCCGCTAGGCTCCCTGGCTGGGGACCCAGAGATCGTGGTCACCGGTGGTTAGAGACACTGAACGATATGGGTGGGTGTCGCAAACAGTGGCGCTCGTGGATCTACTCATTTTTCTTGTAACTTCAATCTAGGAAAATGCCCCACTTTTCGCTTAAATCTGCTCTCAACATTCTAATCACCACTCTGCTATTTTATCCAAATGGGCAACCAAAGCCGGCGCACGAAAGTGCATGGTTAATGATTGTAAGAAGTGAACTGAAACAGCGATATTTCATTCAACTTTTTCAAAAATTATCATTACTACATATATATCACTACAAGTTGTTAGTGGTCAAACTATTTTCATTAGTGCATCTCTGACCACCCCATTCTCAGCATTCCAATCTTCATTCTACTCTTTTATCCAAATAGGTAGCCAAAAGGTAGCAACCAAAACTGGCGCATGAAAATGCATGGTTTGATGACTGTGAAAACTGATTAGTGCGTTTTCTTAGACCTGGTATTTCGCTCTCTTCTCTCTGATCGTCTCGGAGACAGTGATTTGCGAAGGAAACCATCTAAAACAACCGACCACAAGACCTTCCATGAAGAAGCATAGTGACTCTGATTTGCTTCCGACGAATGTACACGAGAATTGACCGATCTACTTTTGCACTGGGAATAAGGGACAAGCGATCTTTTTCCCTCTAACGCTGGTTCACATTGTGACAGGCTGGAAATACTACCTATCATCATGTACACAAACTTCCCGTGGACGAGCGAGCAGAGACAAAATGTGATGGCGTGCCGAATTTCGATCAACGAAGAACGACTGTACAACAAAACCACGAAGATTCAGCGATTAGAACGGGGGAGAAGGATCGCGCATTCCTTGGTTGTTTGTATGCTTAAAATGTCACAACGGGTGACGGGTGCGCGGGGGGAAAGGGGCAGAGGACGGAGCAGCAGAGAACCGAATAGAAGATGGCAATGATTTACATGAGGATGTATGAATGAATGTTGAACCAACACATCTGTACATGAGGCGGAGGGGGGGAAGGAGAGGTGACGTTTGCAGCGAACGCTGATGCTGGCTAGGCTTAAATGCACCTGATATGGCATTGTTAACGAAGAATGGGGCAAACAGAATGATGTATAACCGTTGATCTGTGTGTATGTGTGTGGATGAAAAACGGTAGAAAATCGGGAAAGGAATGAAAGAACAAAAAAAAAAGAAACATCAGCCGTGTGAGCTGGATGATGCGAGCGCTGCGTCAACGAGGGTCATGTTCCCGGGCAAACAGTGACGACTCATGCCCGTAAGACGGGGCCAAACAGCACCGGTGTGGTTTCTATTGGAGCAGATAACTAACCGGTTGACGTAAGCGAACCATGTCGACCGTGTGTGAGGTGAACTGGGAGATCGGACGCAGCGCGAACCGGTGCAATGTGAAAGAAAACGTAAATTATTGCAGATTGCCTAGGAGCAAACAAACATCAGCTGATATTGCGGAGCGTTTCCAAACGGGCAGCCAATTTCAATGCCGGACCGATTTTCATCCCGATTGGTGGCTGAATAAACTGGTCCTCGGCCAACAGGAGTAGAGCTTCACCGTCAATCTCATTCGTGTGAAACGCTTCCGCGTAGGCACCGCAACCCGGCGTTCCGCGTACAAATGCCACCACATCGTCTGCGCTCCAATAGCGTACCGGACCGGGTGGAGGAGGCTCGGGGAGTTGTGGCACGGGATGGGAATGCGAACAGGTGAACAGTCCAGGAAAATGATGAGTCGCGGATCCGACGGACTGAGTAACGTGCTGAACGGAAAAGTGAAGATTTAGCAAGTGATAACTTTTTACCCAATGAAAACAATGAATTAATTTGAAACAGATGCATAGATGAACTGTTTTATTTATAGAAAATTGAAACGCATATTTCGGCGTGAAAGTTGTTCAATCTAATGAATATATTTTGCTTTTTTTTAATCCGACAATCGATTGTCAGGCCAGAACCGACGAAAAATACAGTAAACCGAATCCCCTAGGGCTTTGCGTGACAGGTCTCTAGAAGCTTGCCCACGCACAATCGATCCACGCATCATTACTACCTAGCGGATCAGACCCTTTAAACGAAGACTCTAATCCATTTTATCAGTAAGTCATTGAACAATTTGGCCAAGTTTATCCGCTGTATTCTTCTGGACTATTCTTCCACGTTTGACTCTGTTTCTCGATCATCCCTTCTTTTCAAACTTGAGTCTTTTGGCACTCTGAAATAGCTGCTCCCATGGCTTTCTGACTAATTCACGGAGAAGTTCCAGTACACCACATTACGAAAGAGGACATCAAAACCTCTTGTTAATAATTCTGGTGTTCTTCAAGGTGCTGTTCTATCTCCATATCTTTTTTTCTGCTTTTGTTAGTGTTCTTTCGGTCCCATCTACTGCACACATCCAAAAGTATGCTGAAGACGTCTCCTTCGGAATTCGATTCATTCACTGAAAATCTATCCCATATCTAAGTTTCCCAATCAATCTAATCTCAGTCTCAACACATCTAAGTGCGTAGAGTGCACATTAAGTCTTTCCCGCTCCTCATTTCCAACAGATTCTGCTACCCTTAACTGTAAACCTGTGTCCAGAATGACATCAGTCAAGTACCAGGGTGTCACCGCCAACAGCAATCTTCATTGATACACACACATTTATAATTGTGTGGGGAAAAAGTGACGCCCCTCTTTTCAGTTACGCAAGCCCAAACAATTCCGAACCCCACAATCAGTCCTGTCTTCTTCCGTTCGCCAATGCGTTTTACCCATTCTAATTTGTTGCTCCCCTGTAGTGTTTCCCGACCTTTAAGAACAAGACTTCAAAAACTTGACTTGTGGTTTGGTGATAATCAGTTGTGCATCATTGAGCGCAACCGATTGAATAATCACAGAACTCATTGATGGTCACATCAACTCTTGTGTTAATTTTGCCAATAAGATTCTAGACGACCTACTTCATCCGCTGCATCCTGATCTATCATCTTGTCGTCCCCATGCGTCCACAAGATCCTCTTTTCGGCATCTACCCTCTCGTATTACCATTCATAAAAACTCCACTGTATCCTACGTGACCCGACTCCTAGTCGATAAGGAACAGGTCGCAATTGAATAACGTCCGAATTTATGTACATGAAACAAATTACACTTCACTTTGTATGTTACATGAAACTGTATAGTTCATTTTGTGTGACGACCAGTGTATATTTTTAACTGAACTGTAAGCATGCAAGCTTATACGAGTTATAAAAATACCAAATATACTGATTATTCCAGGACAGCTTACTGTGGATGGTGTGCGGAGAGTTTTGTCTGAAAAAAAACTGAGTAGAACGTCCGGGAATGTGATTTTTCTTTCTCCTCTCCCTTGAGATCGAACTTTCGGACGAAGCAGAAGCGATCAGAATTCGCCTGCAGAATCCCCGGTCATTTGCTCACAAGGATAATTTGTAAAAACACTCGGTCCTCTATACTCGTCACCGCATACGACACAATCATGCTCCCCGATGAACCGAACCAACCCGTGTGTGTGATGATCAAAGTGCGAGCAATATCCCGTGATGGAATTAAAGTGTGATTTTTTCTCTCTTTCTGTGACGAGTTTTTCCCACTAAACATTATAATACAAATTGTGATAAATAATCGAAAACGAGCCTGCTTATTGCGTGTCATAATGGTACATTCTGACAGATGAAACAAGCCAAAGACTCGTTCGTACTAAATGAGCCCGGTACGAGGATTTAATCAAGAGTGCACATTCCCTTGAGGTGTCATCACCTGGAAACTACTGACGTTTATACACTTGTGTCCGATAAAAGACAAACGGGTGGAACGTAAACGAAGTAATCGAGAGAAATATGCTAGTGAGTTCTTAGCCAATCCTGAGACTGGATATAAAGCTTCTTGAAGTGTTTTCACTGGGACCGAAATTTTGTTGTTTCGCTGGATCTGTAATTCGACATTCTGTATTCCTTTTTGCCTGTTCGTCGAGCTTGGCAATTCGTTTGCGTACGTTTCATCACCAGCCGAGGTGACATCATCCTATATTTCAAATCTGCTTCCGTGGAAGATCTGAAATCCACACCAGTCATCACATGTCATAAACTCCTGGAGATTAGACCACCGATAAAACAGATGATGAAGGAACAGCATTGGGAACGGCTGAAGGGGTTCAGGGAAAGCCAAGACCTCATTATTTTGAGGCCAGAAAAAGGCGCCAGAATAGTCCTTTCAAACAGATCCTACTACGTGAACAAAAAGGAATAGAATACTCAGCAATGACAAGAGATTTGACGAAATAGCTGGTGAGAAAGTAGAAAGGTCGGTGCTGAAAACGCTGTGATGCTTAAAATAGATACACACGAACTCTGACTAACAGGAACAACCATCTCAAGACTTTATGACATACCAAAGATACTTAAAGACGGAATACCCCATAGACTGATTCTAGATATGTGTTACTCCCCTTATCATGCTTTAACCTGGACAACATGGCATCACTCCACCCACAAGCGAATCGCGTACCTCGATCTTCGCTATAGAGAATATAATACCACGATTCGATTGCAACACAAGTTGGACTCAGACACGTGTGAAATACAATATATACTATACATACTATGAAATTGTGATTAGACGCCAAAACAAAATATTTTTGTCTATTTACTACAGGCACGTTGCGACGGTTCTCCGACTTGTGCCGAACTTCTCCCCGGGATAGTGATTCCCATGGAGCTACACTGTAAGCAATACGTTGTCATGTGGACAGTTCAATAAAGGCATGTCAAGTGCATCCTAGAATTCAATAGTTACTTACCATCGCGGGATTGGGAGTTTGAGCTGGCGATGAGGTCTGGAGCCCTGTGGGCACAGGACTCTTGGAAGGCAATGACTGTGAATCCGAATGTGGTTGTTCATTGGATCTATTCCCGGGGCGTACAGAAGGAATTCCGAACATCGGAGACGGTGTTGGTGACGGTTGTTGTCTTGGTTGAAACTGACCGGGTGGAGGCGTCGACTTTGACGTCGTGGTTGGAATGATACGAATAGCGCTGGATGACTTGGTAGATGAGGCAATTTCATGAGGCTGTTCACACAGGTCGACCGAATGGGCATGGTTTTTCGAAGCTATTCGGAATAAATAAAGAACAGAACGGTTCGAATCTAGTAGCGATATTCATCAACACTAGTGGCATACAAGTTGACTGAGAATATCCATGTACCCCCGTTCGCAACGAACTGAGGTCAAAAATAGTGCACGGCAGAAAGCGTGGAAAAAGACGGCACACGTTATCTGTGATGAACCACCCTATAGTTCTAGCGTTAGTTGTTTCTAACTACCCGATAATGGTGCTTGTCAAGTGTCAGTAGTATTAAAATGTTTAAATAATTTTTAATGCATTTACGGTAACGAACGCGCAGGTGTGTATCTTGTCATTTTGTTTGAATTTCTGGCAATGAAGCAATATCAGGTGATCCGAATATGCATCGGAGGATGTCGAAATTTCAAGGCCTGCAGAAGCCTCAGTATGGTCGCGGNCGGGTTGGTGAACCACTGGCAGTTCACCTAAGGGAGTTGGCTAAAAACCCTGATTCCAAACCAACCAAGAATAGGTGTACGGACCACACAAAACTTCCTGCTTGTGGCAGTGGTCATCGGTTCAATTGAGCATCGAGGTGTATTGGATCCCTTGAACTTTTTCCCCCGTCCAAAGGCCGTATGATCCGATGAACTGGACACCGCACACCGCCCCGCTGTCTT